ACCTGTGCAGGTCCAATCAGCCGTCTTCCACGACGCGCCCCTCCTGTTCCCCAGGCCTCGGGTGGGAACAGGGGGTGGGGAGGGGAGGACTGAACAGAGGGATCCACAGACCCAGCCACCCACTCCCTGAGCAAAGCCATGCACTAGTGCACCCACCCAGCCAAGCTCCGGGCGACACCCAACAGGCTCTGCCGGCTGGGGACAGCCTCGGGGGAAGGGCACTTGTCTAGAATACGCAAGGCCCTGGGTTCAGTGCCCAGCGCTGTGCACGAAGAAAAGGGAAATCCAAGCCTCACAACTCTCAGGAGCAGAAAGGCCCTTAAGGAGAAGATGACTCATTAGGAATTATTCTGGAGTCACTTTTCCCAGGGAACCACCGTCACAGAGGAGGGGATGGGCCAAAGTCAGAAAATGGTTTAGTAGTCATCTGAAGGACCTCTGCTCCTGTCCACAGCCCTGGGCTGGGTCTGCGGGTGGTGGAGGTGCGGTAAGGACCCGGGAACCCGGGAAACTCTCGCCCCCCTTCAGGCAGACCAAAAAGCCTGGCTGGATGTCTGCAAAGCTAAATCATGACGCAAGGGACAAGGGACAATTTGATACAAAGATGTCACCCATCCAACGCAAAGGGACTAGTTCAGGCTGATGCACCTCACTCAGGGGCCATCACGGAGGGCCGCCGGGGAGGCGAAGTTTTCCCTGGAAGGAAGGACATGGCTGGGTCGTGAAGAACGGGGGAAATTTGATTAGACGGCCGGGGCCGGTCACGGAGGCCATCCCACTGGTTCCTGTCAATCCTGAAACAAATCCTTTGGCGTGCGAAGCTGACCTCATCAGCTCTCCTAAGGAGATGGCTTCTTATTAGGGGAAAAATCCAATTTGGGAGTCGTGGATGAGAGAGGAGAGGAGGGCAGGGAGAGGGTAGCCTTGCCTCCCAGGAGGCCGGTACCCGTCCACCCAGAAAGGGTTGTAGGAGTGCTGGGGAGCGGCCCCACAGCAGAAGGACATGCAGCCCCTGGGCCAGCGGGGGGGGGGGTCTCTTCGCCCTCTTCATGATCTCCAGGATCCCTGGTCTCACAAAGCAGAAGTGCCAACACTGCCCCCCAAAGTCAAAGGTGGGGGTTTTCTGCTTAGGAAAACCTAGAACGTAGGGAGCGGTGTGACTCCTCACGGGAAGCACGGGTCATGCCGTGTCATGTCAGAGTGACTCTGTGAGTGGCCAAACCCTCTGCCCTCTGTAGGGACCTGGCACCCAGGACACGGGCCAAGGGGTCCCGTGTTCCCCTCGTCGAGGTCATCCATGAGCCCAGCTGTCCTCCCAAGTCTGCCCCTCGCCAGGTGAGTCACTCACGGGGCAGAGACGCCCCAGCCCAGGAGGCTCCCCCACCACCGAGTCCCACCTCGGATGCAAGCCGGGCAGCCAAGAGCTGGCCCTCTGCCCCCGCCTGTCCCTTCTCTGTAGCCACCAGCCCCAGTGAGGCAGCGAGCCTGGGACAGAGCGGCCTGAAGCCCAGCCTCCCATATCAGTTTTGATTTCAACGGGAATCGCCTCCCTGGGCTGGATTTCAAAAGACAGCATTACTAATGAGAAACACACAAGTTCTCGAAACGAAGTTAACTTCTTAAAAAAAAGTGTGGGGGTGCTTTCCTTTGGCTCTGTTGATATATATTAGAACCACATTGTCTAAAGGAGGAGCAGCGGTTCTGCTCCTGGACAGAAATACGGGAGTCCTGGCCCTCGGGAAGATGCGGGGAGCCTGGTGTCCTGGCCTGTGCCATCTCTCCAGACTCGCGGGGCTTTTTGGTTTGGGTTTTGTTTTTTCAGGGCAGTGGGAATTTGCAAGTTCAATGTAAAACAGAAGGAAAGGGTGGAACATCAGAGTGAGCAACTGTGAATTTTTTAATGCACACAAGCAGTTCAGATTCTTTTTGGCGAGGAGGTACCAGGGACTGAACTCAGGGACACCCAACCATTGAGCCCCATCCCCAGTCCTATTGTGTATTTTATTTAGAGACAGGGTCTCACTGCGTGGCTGTTGCTGGGGCTGGCTTTGAACTCTAGATCCTCCTGCCTCAGCCTCCTGAGCCACTGGATTTTATTTTATTTTTTAAATCAGTTATCATTTGCTAACTGTTTTTGAGAGAAGCAGAGATGTAGACGGGGGGATAGACCCAGGTCTGCAGCCTGTCCCACCATCCCCTGACATTTCCAGCTCTGAGCACCCCGGGAAGTGGAGTGGCCCCCCGGAACACCTCCTCCCAGGGCCCCTGGGAGGACAGAGAAACCCAGGAAGAAGGGCCTGGGTGTGTCATTCGGGCCCAGGTCAGAGTGGCTTGATTGGAGGTGTCCTTGTCACCTGGGATCTGTCAAGGCACCTCTTTAAGGCCTGGCTCTTTCTCCAGAGGCTCCTTTGGACCCCACCAGGAGAGTTGATGACCCCTTCCTTGGGGAACGCTCTTATTTTCAGAGGTGACAGCAGGAAGAGGCTCTCGGCCTCTGCTCGGGCACAAACAGCCTGATGGGAGTTGGAGGGAGAGGGCCCTCCTCCTCCGGAGAGGCCTAAGTGGGAGGCTGATCCTGCATATTTCAGGGGCTGGTTCCTCTCAGGACCTCGGGGTGTGGGCTCCTGCTGTCCACTTCCTGCCCATCCTAAGGGCTCTTCTCCAGAAAGACCTCAGGAAATGGCCCCGGAAGCCTCTCCAGGTCCCACCTCCTCTCCGGGGCTCAGTTTACCCAACCATGTCACAAGGGAGTCGGGTGACATGGTCCTCCTTGTCTGTGATCAGGCCTGGGAAAGGCTTTCAGATGCCAGGACGGGGACTTTCAGAGCCATGCCCCCCACCCCAAGGCCACACAGCCAGCTGTCAACGTCCATCATCTTCAGGGACTTCCCCATACCGCCAGGTCCCCGGAAGCACTGATGGGTGCCAGAGCCCGTCATTCAGTCCCCACTCTGGGGGGTCTCGGTGGCAGAAAGACGAGCTGGTGTGCTCAGCTGGACGTCGACTCGCTCCTGGGGAGACCCGTTTCCCAAGGGAGCAAAGGAGTTTCCATGTTCCCCCAAACCCTGCAGGGCCCCCCACCTTGGGAGAGAGGAACCCAGTTACGACGGAATCTGGCTGGGCCTGGGGAGTGGGGGTCCCAGGCAGATCAGAGCCTGTTCTTGGTTCCACGTGGCTTTGATCTGTTCCTCCAGCCTCCCCAGAGGCCTTTGTTCTAAGAAATCAGACCTTTGCCTTTTGCAAAAGCAGCCCCCCCGCCCGTGGCCCTCCCTCGGCCCAGCGCTGCGTCTTAGTTGGCCTCGCCCTGCAGGTCCCGGGCCTGCGGGGTCTCTCAGCGTCAGAAGGAAGTGAGGCAGGTTAGGGCGGATCCCAGGGGCCAGAATCCCGTCTCAGTCCCCTCCGTTCTCTGTCAAAGAGCTTAGGGCTCAAACCTTTCTGGACCTCGCTCCCCCAGCTGTGACCTGGGAACCCCCTTTTTAGCAGCTTTCAAGGGTGAGCTCTGCGACCTTCCGGCTCTCTCTGATCCAGAGGCCCCCACCTGGGAGGCACTTGTCGAAAGTCTAGAAATGGCCTCGCGGCAAAGGTACAGGTGAGTCAAGAGAGGCGCACAAATCCACCCTTCGTCTTCCAGGTGGCAGGTTCTGCCATTGCAGATGCTGCTCCAGCAGGCGCCACACCTGGGTCACCTATGTCCTAGAGCGGCAGGCCAGCCCACGCCATGCCAGGAGCAGGCAGGAGGAACGGGCAGGATCTCTGAAAGGCCGTGACAGAGCTGCTCGGGCCTTGGAGTCCCCAGGCACCACGACGTCCCAGCTGCCCCATCCCAGGCGTCTCTGTAGAGTCGGGGTCTGAGGGTCGGCACCCCAGAGGGCTGTCAGCCGGGCCAGCACTAGGCTCCCGCTCGGCCCTGACCCTGGCCCCTCGGCATCTGGGGGCTGATTTTCCAGACCCTGACCCAACAAGCCCCAAACCCTCCCAGGCACCTTGAACACGGAATGTTTTTTTCATTAACTTACGACTCCTCTGCTCCCCTCTCCCGGCCCCCAAAGAGGCCCCCAAGCCTGAGTTCCTCCCCCGTCCCCGCGACTTCATAATATCCCCGGGCAGCTGGAAGGGAGAAGCAGTGATCTCAGCCGACAGCCATGCACGCAGCCCCTCCGCCCACCGACCCTCTGCTGGCCAGCTCTGCCTCCTGTCGCCCACGGAGAGACAGTGCTGCACCCGGGCTCCTCCCCTGCACCGCGTCCCCAGAGCTTCCACCCAGAGCAACCTCTGACCCAGGAAAGCCAGCCGCTGTCCTACCTGCCAGACGCGGCTGCCTCCTTCGATCACCCATTTGACAGATGAGGAAACCGAGGTGGCCTGTGCGGACTCTTGTCCCTGAGCCACAGACTCTCCTCCGTGCAGAGGAGGCTGCTGCCTGGCCTCCTGGGGGCGCCTCCCAAGGGCCCAGGAACCCTCCCTGAGATGCACGTTCCCCGCCAGCTGTTCCCAGCCCCTGCTGATCCAGCACTTCCTCCGCCTCTGCCCCCCACCTCGGTCCTCCCGCTCTTTCCTTCAAAAGTGCTGACTGTAGTCGGCAGTCAAAGCCGAGGAGCCGAGAGGGAAGGAGTCAGAGGGAACACATTTTACTTAAAATAAAAAATGGGGCTTGTTTGGCTGCTTACGGGCTAAGCGGGGCCCCTGAGCAGGCCACATCCCTGACTGTTGGTTTCTTCTTCTAACAACATGAATATTAGGAAAAGAGTGTCCACCTTCCAGGGATTTGGAGACAACTAAGGAGACGCTGGTTCTGGTTCGGATGGTGAAGGGGAAGCGGGAAGAGGAGGAGCAGGAGAGTTTTTTGAGGCTCCTGATACTCGATGCAAATTAAAATCAGCTCCCTCACTCGCCCCGTGTCTTCCCACCAACATGAGGAGGGAGAGGGCCGTCACAAAGCACGGCTGTCGGCTCTTTAAGTCAAAAACACATAAAACTTAAAATCCAGCTTCTCGGTGGCTCTGCCATGGGAAGGCTCGCATCAGCCCCCAATATGCTGATGAAGAACGTGAGCCCTGGAGACAGGCCGCCCGGCTCACAGCCTGGCTTTCTAGCATGTGGCTCTAGGCAAGTTACTTGGTTTCCATCTGCCTCAGCTTCTCCATCCGTCAGATGGGCACGATGCTCGTCCACACCTCCTAGAGTCATTACGAAAATTAAATCAATCAACCTTCATCAGGCCTTTATCCAGCACTTGGCTCATCATCGCTGGAAAGTAAACAAAATCCCATTGCAGATCCCGAGGGCTGGCATCTGTGCTCCTGTGCGTGGACCTCAGGGCGGAGGAGCCCCCCACAAACACACATGTGTTCCGGATTCCATACCAAATACTCACCAGGTGCCCCTTTAAGTTTATATTTGTACATGATTTGAGTGACAGATACTAATTCAAGGAAGTAGGCATGGAAGTGTGTCACAAACCCGAGGTCAGAATGATCTAGCAACCGAATACCAGCTCTTAGAGTTTCCTGGTGGCCAAGGTGAAAAGGAAAACATGGCAGATGATTCCATTCCATTCCTGTCTGATAATCAGGCCCAAGATCTGATTTTTAAAAAAAAATGAAATCTTAATATGTGGGTGCATTAGTGTAGATTTTGTAAAAGTCTATGGCTGACCCTCTATTCAGGCAAATTCCTCAATATCTAAGCTCCTACACCATCAGAGAGTTGCAAGGCCCACTGGGGTGATGTTTTATCTCCCCATATTCTTTGCCCCCAAAAAGCCACTGGTAAGTCTTCATGCCTCAGAATATTCTAATAACCTCCAAAGTGTTTCCACCTGACCTTGACCCTGACCCCTAAGCCCTTCGTTCATGAAACAAGTACTTTGTGCCTTTGCCACATCACAAGCTGGCGCACATCTGTTCCCAGAGGGGACTCTCCAAAGGGGCTTGGACACCTTTGTTGCAGGGGGCCATCGTGGGCCCAGTTCACAGCCAGAAGGACAAGGCCACAACCAGTCGCAGGGCCGGGAGGCGGCCGGGATGCCAGGCTCCAAGGTGGAGCCCCAGCCTGGCTCAGCTTTGCCTCTCCTGGCCGAGTCTGAGGCCCAGGGTGAGGAGGAGCCGGGAGACAGGATGTGGCCGCTAACGAGATCAGCCTCAAGCTGGTGTCATCCCACACAGCTCCACGGGGACGTCTGCCAGTCTGACTGTCTCACCAAAACAACATCTTCCCCCAGCGCCCCCACCCAGGGCTGGCAGCCTCGGGAGCTGGGAACAGAAGAGGCATCTAGATGCCTGTGATGTGGCAAAGTGGGGATTGAAGAGACCGTTCAGGAATGGCGGGTCCCAGGACCGGCCAAGCGTTGCGGCAACAGACAGGCTGGGAGCACTTGGCCCTGGCCAGCGAGGCCCTCCTGGACCTCTAGCCTCCACGGGCCATTGAAGGCCACCGCTCCTCACTGCTGGGCTTCTGAGCCTGTCGGGAGGACGAGCCTGCGCCCAGGGAGAGGCCCATCTGGAAAGGGACCTCCAAGGCCCGAAGCCAAGAAGCTTGAGATGAAGGACGCAGAGCACAGTTGATGGGGTCCAGGGTTCGTTAGTGGGTATTTCCGTCCCCCAAATACACACGTTGAAGTCCTAGTCCCAGCCCCACAGAGGATGACTGTCCATGGAACGAGGCCCTTTAAAGAGGCCAGGAGGGTAAAATGAGGCCATTATGTGACCGCTGTCTTCATGACAGGAGAGGAAGACGCAGAGACGCAGAGGGGAGGACCAGCAAGAAGATGCCACCTCCCAGGAGAGAGAACTTAGGAGGAACCAACCCCGCTGTCCCCCTGACCCTGGACTCGAGCTTCCAGATCTGTGACACAACAAATTCCTGTGGGGCTGTGGGGCTGTGGGCCCGTGACAGCCGTCTGAGCAGACCAGGGCGGTCCTGCTACGAGCAGTCCCCTCACACAGGGACCACACGCCCCGACCAGGCTGCCCAGGGCATCAGGAGCAGAGAAGCAGGAGCCTGGGCCGGGAGCTGGGCGCCCGGGCAACCGCCGGTCCCCCTTCAGCCCCCGAACCCTGCCAGGAACGCGTGGGTGCCATTCGCCATCTGAGGGGGAAGCCAAGTGCCCCTGGCAGGGAAGTGCCCCTGAGCTGTGTTTCCAGTCAGGTCTGTCCCCTTTCCAGCCTGGGCCCTTCGCACTCACCCCAGGAACAGGTGAGGACAACAGGGACGGGGCTTCCCAGCCAGAGGACAGGCGCCGAGGCTGGGTGGCCCTGAGCCTCCGGAATAACCCGCCGTCCTGCTGAGTCTATCCACGGGCATCTGGAGCTGGAGGCACCACGCTGGGGACCGCTACCCAGAAAACAGCCCGGAGCGTTCCCTTTCTTGCAAAGGAAAGAGGCCTTAGGAATAAAGAATAAAAGGAGAGGATTAGAAAGGAGAAGCCGCGGTGGGTCCCACAGCCAACAGGGGACAATGCTCTGTCCACAGCTGGGGACACCAGCACCCCCAGGCCTGGCAGCCCTCGCTCCCCGAGAACAACCAACACAGCTACTGCCCGCCAGGCTCTGCCTGTGCCTGGGTCCCCCGTGCTCCCGTCCTCCCTCTGCTAGGACTCTTCCTGCAGACAGAGGGCGAAGCAAGGCACAGAGGTACCCATGACCAGGGACCTGCGTCCGTCCCTTCCATCCCTGATATCTGGAACCAGAGCCCCATTCCCAAGCATCACCTGCAGGCGGTGGCCTGCATCCGGTGACCATCCGAGAGGCTTTGTTGTTGTAGCCATAAAGGACAAATAACGGGTGTCGTGCTGCAGGGCGAGGGACACCCCAGGCCCGAGTCACCTAGACCCCGGCGTGAGAGAGCATGGAGTCCTCTTCCCCAGGGACGTCCTGAGAGGGCAGCCAAGAGCCAGCTGGAAGCCCGGGGAGGGAGTCTCCGCCACAGACCGGCCCCAGCCTGAGCCCCCAACCACGAGCAGCAGCTCCCGGCAGACATCAGTGGTTCCAGGAGCTCGTGCCCAGCACCCTCTGGGGTCCACCTTCCTGCAGGGAGGGGTGGGGAGGCGCCGCTTATTTGCCTAATTGGAGCATCCCGTCAAAAGTAACCTGTGCCCTAAAGCAGTGGTCATCTTAGGGAAGGCCCGGGATTTACTGAATGTAAAACACAGGGGTGGGGTGGGTGATGGCCACGGGAGGCCAAACGGTACCCACCCGGACACAAACCAAGGCGTCAGGATCGCCCACTCACCCTGCTCTGGGCAGCAGGGTCCCCACCTTCCCAGGGGACATTCCCTTCTGCACTCTGGGGCCTTCTGCTTTTCGGAAAAGTGAGTGCATCTTAAGTTAATTCAACACACTTTTACGTATTGCCTGCGGTGTAGACAGGGAACGTTCAAATCCTCCCTCCTAGTGTCCTCTCCTCGTGAGTCCCACTGCCCTCCTCATCCGAGGGGACCACGGCTCTGAACTCTGCCCGGTGTTTGCTTTTGATCAGGTCACGTGCCCTGGTCAGGGTTGACTCCACCCCTTTCCAGAGCACGTGACTTGGGCCCGACCAATCAGAGCATCGTATTCCCCTAACCCCCGGTCATTGGCTGGGAATTGGCTTGTGGCCCAAGCAGAGCGCAAACTGGCCTGGTGGCGGTCACAGGCTCTTTGTCACTGTGATGCAGGTAGGAGGAGGAGGCAGGAGCACCTGGAGGTCCCCTGTGGAGACTGGGAGTAGAAAGAGTGGGCAGGTGACAAGGCTGAGGGACCAAAGAAGCCATCCTGGAGACATCATCGTTGGAGCCCGTCTGTCACGCCGCAGCCACCTGTGCTGACCAAAGCGTTCGCTGAAGCCATTCTGCTAAAGAATTAACTGATGCAGGTGTGCACATAAAGGTAGAAGAGATGGAAAGTACACATTTAATTACACCCATCCTTTATTTATTTGCAGTTTCCTTTCCTCTTAAGACCCCAAAACTTGATTGTAGTCTTCAGAGCCTTGAGCCCAGGTGGCTCCCATAGCCTAAAGTGACCTGGCCCGTCCTTTCACAATGATCTGTTCCCTCCTACCACAGGGCCTTTGCATAAGCTACTTCTTCTTTGGACATTCTTACCTCTTACCTTCACATACATAACAGAAGGCAACTGCTTCCCCAGACCTCCTGATCAGGGTTTCTTTCCCCAGTTTTATGCCTTTGCATCTCTCCCTTTTGTGTAAATTGAATGTGAGACTCTGATTAGCCAGGCCCAAGTCACATGCTCTGAAGAGTGGGGACAGGGTCAGCTCTGACCAGGGCACATGGTCTGACCAAAAGCAAATGCAGGGCTCGAAGTCAGACAGTGGCTCCCCTCCGATGGTGGCTCCCCGGAGGAAGTGGGCAGATGGATTCACCAGGGGAGGCCCCCAGTCTTGAAGGAACATGGCAATGTCTCAACTCATGCCCACTTCTTTGTGTGCTCCATGAGGCACAGTGACATCTACATTTGTCACTGTTGTGCCCCCCGCCCCCCAGTGCCTACAGCAGAACCTGGTGCTCAATGGCCTTGAAAACTGACGGTGGCCGGGAGGGGACACGACAGTGATGCCTGCTTCTCTCACAGTCTCCTTTTGCAGAGCTGCCCCAATTCTCTTATAAGCAGAAAACAGAGTTATTTTAAAAGGATGGGAATAATGTCTCTCCTTGCCCGGCCGAGATGCCATTGTCCAGATCCCGGGTCCCCTTCCACCATAAAACGTGCAGAAAATGATCCTTTTAACTTTATGTTCACACACAAATGCACTCGCCATTAAGTTAATGCACTGAACTATCCCTTTAAAGTCTTGCTCCCATGGATTTCCCAGAGACTCCGGGGCTGCTGCCTGCAGACCCCAGTACAAATGACCCATGAATACCAAGGGGAGGACTCAGAAGAGGTTAGTTTTCTACGATGGGATTCCCCCCACTACTCACACCTGGCGACGCGAGTGTCATCTTCCAGGAAAGTGGTTCCTGAGTCACATGTTGGGATTAAGGCTGGGCGATCCCCCAGAGCCTCTCCTGAGCTCCAGGCCACGCAGGTGCTCAGCCACCTGGTCACAGCTGAGATGACGAGTTTCTCCCAACGTCACAAAGTGTGGGCTGGGAGCCGGGTGCAATGGCACACCTGTAATCCCAGCGACTCGGGAGGCTGAGGCAGGAGGACCATAAGTTAGAGGTCAACCTCAGCAACTTAGTGGGACCCTGTCTCAAAATAAAAGATTAAAAAAAAAAAAAAAAGGGCTGGGGATGTGGCTCAGTGACTAAGGTTCAATCCCCTGGACCGAAAACTGTTTAATAAGTGGGCTGGGGTGGGTCCCAGCCCCACTGCTCACCTGCTCTGTGATCTTGAGAAAATAGATCTGCCTCTCTGGACCTTGAATTCTCCATCCAGGAAACAGGGAGGAGGGGTTCGGTCAGACAGCAGTTTCCAAACTGCCATAAGATTTTGGCTGCAAGTCTGACTTCTTTTCAAACAAAATCAGAAGCAGAAGCTCAATATGTGAACAGATTAAAGCGGGACTTTCTGCCACAGGGACGGGTCTGAGGTCTGCCACCCACCCCTCCTTTTGCCTGCTTGACCCCATCCCCAACACCTGCGTGTGTGCACACTCGTGTGTGTTCCTGTGCCGCTGTGGGACCCCTCCGAGAGGTGCCAGGGGACACTCCACAAGTCACAGACCTCGCCATCTCTAACCCCAGCTCTCACACGCCACAGAATCAGCAGTTTTCTTTATTTTGATATTAACTGTCTCTGAGTCCCATCCTTCCCTAGGTTTTTTTTGGGGGGGTGGGGGGTACTGAGCATTGAACTCAGGGGCACTCGACCACTGAGCCCCATCCCCAGCCCTATTTTGTATTTTATTAGAGGCAGGCTCTCACTGAGTTGCTTAGCGCCTTGGTTTTGCTGAGGCTGGCTTTGAACGTGAGATCCTCCAGCCTCAGCCTCCCGTGGGACACCGCGCCCAGCCCTAGTTGTTTTTTATTCTACTCATTTCCTCAGCAGATATTTACAGTGAAGTGGACCATGTGCCCAGCACTACCCTGAGGACACAGTGGTACCCAAGATGCACTCAGCCCTGCCCTTGGGGAGGATATGGTCCTCAGGGGGAGATAAATACTAAACCAACAGTGGCACAGTTGGTGGCAGGGGCTGTAAACAGGTATCCTGAGGTCCTAAGGAATATGGCCTGGGGTGGGATCAGGGCTGGCACGGGAGCCCAGGTAGAGACCGAAAGGAAGAGAGACTAGAAGAAAGAGCACCCAGGGAAGAGGCCAGCCTGTGCAGAGGCCCTGGGCCTGAAGTCTGCTCACCTGGAGCTGAAAGAAGGGCAGACAGCTGAGCCGAGTGCAGGGACAGGAGGGAGAACTGAAGTGGGTGGCAGAGGGGGCACAGGCGGGCACAGCGGGGGCTGGCCACACAGGATCTGAGGGTGTGTTGGGAGGCTGCTCTCCGTCCTAACAGGATAAAGAGATCCTCAGAAGTTCGGCGCCCTACCCAGGTCCTCGAGCCCCAGCAACATCCATCCAAACGTTGAAAACCGGTGTCCGCGGGAACCCCTGGTGGCCAGGAGGGTCAGCCTCTGCAGCCCCGGGAAGATGGAAGTGGATCTAGTTAGTTTGGAGGCAGGAGGGGACAGGCGTGGCCAGGCGGGGGGAACACGCTTGGGAGGTGGCCAAAGGCTTGGCTGCGCCCAGAGAGGGGGCTCCTTCCAGAGCAGGCGGGGGCAGCTCGGGTGCCAGCGCAGAGCCCAGGCGGGGAAGACGGATGCCATGAGCACACTGACCCTAAGGACCACAAAGCCAGTCCCGGGTGGCACCTGGGAAGGCCACCGAAGGAGCGAGCACCTGGCCAAGCGTTGCGCTAACTCGGGGAGAACGTGACGGGCAGGACGCAGCCCTGTCTTTGCAGAACTTGGGGAAACAGGATCCTGCGCCCCTCTGTGTGCGGCTTCTCAGAGCCACCTGAGGCGGAGGCGGGCGAGAAGGGCCCAGAGAGGCTAAGGCGCTGCCCCAAGTCAAGACCAGCTCTGCCCACCCCGCCGCGCCTGGGGACGTGGACTTCCAGAGCCAGCCCTTCATCACGACCCCCAAGTTCTCCCCTCTGGGTGACAGGAAACCTCCATCCAGGCGTGCTCTGTGACGAGAAGCTCAAATTCCCTGTCCCCGCCTCCCCAGACCAGCCTCAGCCACTCGCCCAGGGGCTTGTCGAGAGACCAACCAACCCTGAGGGGCACACCTGCACACCCGCCAGAGGACCCCACGGGGACCAGTCCCCTGGCCGCTGCTGCCATGGAGCATGCAAATCACACCCAACCATGACCCAAAACCACAGTGATTTTCTGAACCTTGAAATGAACGCAGATCTTCCGTTATTTACAGAACCTTAAACCCCGTGGGAGGTGACACCTCCCAAGAACAGACAGATCCCAGAACGGTGACAGAACGGTGACAGCCCAGACCCAATGCCCCCGGAACTTCTGGGCATGTTTGAAGACTTTGACTAGAAGAGGATGCAGAATCAGACCCCAGGGAACAAGACCCCTCTCAGTTTGGAGGTCCTGTGACAGATTCCAGATAGAAACTACCCCGAGGAGGCTACCAGTGATCCCCAGGGCCCCAGGAAGGAGAGGGCAGTGAGGAGGGCTCCAGGTGAAGGGCCATCTGTCACCAGCGGATCTCACCCTCCACAAAGCTCCGTGGGTGGGGCAGGATGTGGACCACCAACTTGCCATCCCTGCTCTGTCCAGCGACTGGAGGGGAAGTGCCAGGCTGGGAGCCTCACCCGGCAGCCCTGAGGCCCGGCCTTGAGGATCCTGCACATGGGATCCAACTTCGAGACTCAGCAAAATAGTCGTCCAGAAGCTGGGAGAGGTCATGGACTTGGGAAGGGGACCCACGGGCCCACGGAGGTCCTTGATGGTGAACTTCGATCCACACCCGTGAGCAGGTGGTCTGGGTGTCTTCCAGCCACGGGAAGCTACCCGAGGCAAGCGCTCAGTAGCGTTTGGGAGACGGAAGCAGGGAGACCCGTCCCCGAAGCCATCGGAGATGGTCTTTGCATCTCGGAGACCGGAAATGAGGCCTGTGACTCACAGAAGTTGCCAGGTGCTGAAGTCACCAGATCTTAACCAAAAATAGGGTGTCTGCCCCTCCCAGCCAGCCAGGGCTCAGGGCTCAGGGCTGGGAGCCACAAGCACCTGGGGAGGAGAGGATTGCCCAGGGCTATGCCCACAGGGAGCCTGGTGCTTCCCAGCAGAGGCCAGGGGCAGGCTGGGCTGGGAGGGGGGGCAGCACTGGGCTCAGAGGACACTGAAGAAGAGTCCCCTCAGGATCTGGAGGGGGGGGGCCTAAAATCCACAGGGTCCCAGAAATGGAGATGCAGGCAGTGTCTGTACAACCAAGCATCCAGCCACCGAGCTCACCTCTGTGCAGACTCGGCCCTTCCCTGGAACAGCAGACCATTCGCTTGTTGAGAGAACCTTCCAGAAAGTTCCAGCCTCGAGGAGGTCATGTAGGGCAAACCTGGGGGCCAGAAGGG